TCTTCGTGGAGCTTAAATTATTCATGCATCACTCTGCAAAATCCATAGATTTGATTTGTTATCTGTTATTGTCCTATTTAATTATAGATTACTTCAGATACCAGTACATCTTTATACCTCTTTTTTTTTTTTCAGTGTATGTTTTAAACATCCTATTATTCTATCTTCACAACAGCCTTGAGAATTGGGGGGAACATGTTACCCCAAGGTCGCACAGGTGTGAGGAAAAAGACCCAAGTTAGGACTCCAGGCTTTTAAACTGTGATTCCTGACCTTTCTATTATACTACAGCTGTCTCTCCCGAAAATGATGGCCGCCCGGGCCAACACATGCGGAGCCTCTGCAGGTATGATGGCTTCTGCTTCTTTGGGAACAAACCAGACAGGTCTGAATCCCTCACGTAGCCAGTCATCTCACAAAGAGTTCATTCATGAACACTGCACCGCAAATCAGAATCTAAGGAGTAAATAAAAGATTCGTACCCTCAAAACATCAATTCCCATTACATCCAGGTAGCATTAAGTGCCACCAGTATTCATTATAAAAGATTAGAATTCTGTCTGCAAATTTTCAAACAGGTTACGGGCCCAGCAACAACTTTCTCACCATTTAAAAATTTAAAAAAATTAAAAGCATTAAAAGCCCACTGAGTAGAACCTGGGAGGATGGAATATCTTTAAAAGCGCAGGATGAGACAGGATGGATTTGCAGCCACAGCTTCTGAGGTTTCTGGTAATGACTTTTGTGAAAATATAATCAACCTGCAGGAGATATAAAAGAGTTATAGGTATAAAGCGACGGGGCGGGGGGGAGGGGGACTCTAAAAAAAGTACACAGCATATTAGTTTACTTTAAGGGAAATATGTTAAGATGCTGCAATGTTCTTAAAGGAAAAAATGATTGTCTTTAGAAACCTAAGACACAGCTTTGGAACCTGTGATCAGCATGCCTCCCTCTCTTCCCTGTCCCTTTGAAACATTTCTTCTTTCAGCACTTTCTGTCTTTAAGGCCAGCTCCTTTAATCTCAGAGTGCCCATGGACTTCTGAGACATGATCTCAGTAATCCTCTTAAGAGAGAAGATTTGTGCGCCAGATATGGTCCAGAAATCCACAGGTTTTGCAAGTCAGCTAGGTGGGAAGGATAATTCCTTTGTACATCTGTAGCATCTGTCTACATTGGGACTTCCAAATGCTTTCCCAAATTATCTAATTATCCCTTTCAACATCTCTTGGAAGGAGGCAGACAGGAGATGATACTAATTCCATTTCTTCAAGTAGAGCTAATAATTCGTTCTACGAGATGGCTTAGCCTAAAGCCATATTCTCTAGAAACTTCTGTTATACAGACATGACCTTGAGTGTCTTAAAATAGTATTTCTTCTCTGGAATTAAAAGTAGTGATGGGTGGAATGGCTCACCAACACCTGTAAGTAAATGCCATTACATCAGAATTTCTTCCCTTGGCCAATGAGAGGAAACCCCCACCCATACCAAGGGGCCCCAGGGTATGCTTCCCAGAACAGCCATCTTGGGAGAACCTCCCGGGGAAACCATGGCCACGTATTTTTGGAAAATACTACAAATGATTTTCCTTTTGACAAGTCAATACACATGTTAGCATAGTGAAGCCTGGCTAAGATACCTTGTTTTACTTGGACGCATGACTCTGTTGTTTATGTAACAGCAGTTAGCCCCTGGAAATAATACTTTGTGGAAAACATTTAAGAAACATCAACTCAGATGGCTTTTTACCCCCTTCAATTCTTCTTATTCAGAAACTACAACTTCTAGAAAGCATGGATCCTACAATGGCATCATTAACTCCTTATTGTCAAGCACCTACTCTCCAAGACACTGGCTCCGGTTTTCCTGCCTCATGTGTGGCATTTTATCATCAGAGACTATCTGTGTGATAAATAGTGTTCTTATTCCCATTGGACAAAGCAGTCAGTGAAGGGTCAAGGAGGATCCTCTGAATGTTGGCATAGCACTAGGCTGTCCACAGACCATCTGTACCTATCTGCACCCTTGCCCTTGGCAAATGCAGCTATTTCAGGCCTTCGGGTACCATCCTGAGGCTAATGATGCTGATCTGCCTCTCCAGTCCTGACCACTCTGCAGAGAACCTGGATCTACAGACACTCATTTAACCTAAGACCCCAGTGCCACGTTATTCCCCTTCCATTTCTTCTCTTACTCCAAGTAGAAAAAAATGGGGTATCCAGACCTCAGGGGAAAGGCTCATTGGTCTTTTATAGTAATGTAGCCCTGGGCCTCAAGAGCTACGGAACTTTGTCTAGCTGTATTGCTGCCGTGGCAAGCTCGCCAAAGTCTCTGAGCCAGTCCGCACATTCCGCACAGAAGCCCTTTCATCGCCTGCCACGTCAATCCCATGTTTAATATTTTGTCTAGCTAACAGGTTGCATGTATTAAAAATGAGATTATTAATCTTCACTTCCTAAGCCATCTAAGTTGTATGGCAGATGTGTGTTGTTTAAGCTGCATTCTCTGCGTGAGAAGCACACAGGGGCTTTTAATCATGCCCAGGCAGACGCAGGCGGGGCTGGCTGATGCTGATGCTCACTCTGGTCCCATTCACCACCATTCCCTTCAGGTTTGGTGAAATTCTGGAAAGGAGTTCTTGACCCTTTACCTTGGCATTTCCACACTGAAAAGTCTTCTCTTCTGACAGTTCCCTTTTTGAAGAATATAATAGAATCTGTGTTGAAGGACATTCAATATTCCTATTTGACATATGTGACTGATTTTTATGGAAGTCTCCACCTGATTGTGGGGTTAGTTGTTCTTTCCATAATAATGAGTTAGGGTTTTCTTCAGTTTGGATCATAGGCCTGGCAATTTCTGCATTGAAGTCATCTTCAAAATCCAACCCTGATATTAATAACAGAAAGCTACTAGGTTACATTAAATAAGCTATATTTTGTTGTCATAATTAATCTCCCTCCACCCCTCCCAAAACAATCAAACGAGTGTTAAGGTTTTCTGTTATGATGAAATATCCCCTAGAACCCTAATATTCCTTCACAGCATTTCTTGCCCTTTTGATGTCACTTAAACCAGTGAGCCAGATTTCTCCCAAAGGGTGAATTTGCAAGGCCTGTTAACTCTTTCAGAGCCTGGCTTCAAGAAATGTCGGCAAGACCATCACATTGTTTTGCCTTAGGCTTTCTACTTCCTAAAAGTCAGCTGTCCTATTCGAAGCGATCCAAACTAGCACACTCAACAGAACACTGGACTTTGGGAAATGTCAATGCCTGTCATCAGCGGTGACCTTGGCACTGGCCGGTGATGGAGGCACGAGGGAGCCCAGGGCCCATGTCTTTATCGCACTGGTTTACACCATCGACTTTAGAAATGGTGTGAGAGAAGAATAATCAATAGTGTGTTAAGCCCAGCCTCCTAGAATGCCAAGACAAAGTGTTCCTGCCCTGCAGAATGCTGAGTTGAAGGAGAACTTTGAATCCAACACAAGAGAAATTACCTGTAGTGGTAAAACTAAATGAATTGTGTCAGAAGACAGCATTTGTCATTGCGAATGGCACTCGAGAGCTCTCTGTGTACTTCAGTGGGATCCCATAATATGCGCAATGAAAAAATGCTTAAAGTTAAACACCAAAGAATCATATTATGAAACCAGAAGGGATGCATTCTAAACATATGCATATAGCTTAGGAATTAGCTGGCATAAGTAGTCCCAAAATGTGTACTGGAAAAAGCAAATCTAGGAATGGGATCATCTCCTGTGTAAAAATGGGGGAAATATAATATTAAACATCCTCAAAATTTCCTGAAAATGTTACTGTATTTCCTGTAATTCTGGTAAAGGCATTCTTTCTCAATAACCAGCAGCGAGCACGAAACTTCTAAAAACAGCCAACCAGGCCTCCCCACAGCACCCTGAGTGAGATCACTGGAAAACGATGACAGCGTCGTCCCTAAGATCGTTCCAATCAAATGTCTGATTTCCCACAGCAAGCCTAATTGTGACATGAACAGCTGTCAGCCACCAAATTAGAGGAAACTGTCATTTTACAGATTTCACCAACATTGGCTTGTCCTGTTTCCATGCCTTTGCTCGAGAGACTGTTTTCAAAGAAATCTTCAGGGAGAGGTTTTCAATTTCCAAGCAGGGAGTCCCTCAAGTTATTTGGCCAATAGGCTATAGGTGAAAGACATTTGTCAGAACAAGAATCCCAAATGGATATTTATTGAATGCCAAACTTAAGTACATAAAAATGTCTAGGACGCAATTCCTTTAGTCCTGCAAGAATTGTATGAAGTAACTATTACAATTGTTTTTAAAATAAGCATGTTTAATACAATAGTTCTCCCTTGTCCATGGGAGCTTATGTTCCATCCCCCCCAGGGGATGCCTGAAACCTCAGATAGGTACCTAACCCAATGTAGACTACGTTTTTTTCTTATGTATACATACTTTTTCACGTAAAGAAAGCACTTTATGGCTGCTTCTTAGCATATCCAAATCACTACTTTTGTGCTGTGGGGCCATCGTTAAGTAACATAAGGGAACACAAGCTCTGTGATACAGCAACAGTAGATGGTAACCAGTCAAAGGCAGAGTATCACCATGTTCGAACTCAGCCAAGGACATGCACGTGGGACAACTCTAAATTTTGTCACTCTGATTGTGTCTGTGATAATGCACAAAAATCTATTCGGAGCTTACAAATGAAGTTTGGTGAGCGAGCAAATTCACAAATACAGAATCTGTGAATAACGAGGACTGATTGTCTATGTCGAAAATAAGAGTCTGGGTGTATAATCAGTCATTCTGTATGTGTCTGCGTAATTCTTTCTGTTAGGTTAGTAGTTGAATTTGTTGACATGACAAAACCAGATCTTATTGGAAGTAAAATTTCCATGAGAAGTGTGAAAGCCATGCACGGCATGCCTCAGCTTCATGATCTGCGGAAGAACCTCATTGTGCAACTGTCTTGACTTCTCAATATGTCTTCCAGGTTTTTCAGGGATGTGGCCAACCCAAACCTGCTCCAGCCCTCAGATCTGCCCGTTCCGCTCCTGAAAATTTTAATACACGGTTCAGGCCTTACAATCCTGAGGAAAGACCGACAACCGCCGCAGGCACGAGCCTGGACCGGCTGGTGAGTTCTCTCGGACTGATGGCCACATGGCCACTTCCTGTTACCAAGGTCATTCTTCAAGACATGATGGGGAAAAGTTGGTTGTAAAAGTCATCTCATTTTTATATCTGCTTCTAGTTTTAATTAGAATGTTGAAAAGTAATGAGAGCTTCCTTTTAGGTCAAGAATTAGATTATTTAAGAAGTCTTAATCACCATTAATCTACTCATGCAAAGGCCAAATTTTCAACTTCATATTCCTTCTGAAATATTAATTTGAAGACTAAGTTCCTACTATATCTTCCAGTGATATAATTATACAATAGCACATTTCTTATTCATCTGCTTCAGTTATTTATTCAATTATAATAGTGTAACTTTATTATGAATTCTCCTTATATGTACAGTTTTCTGTCCGAAAGACCTTGCCAAGGGACCCCAAATCAAGGTTACCACCATTTATGGTTTGTGCATGTGTGTGTGTGTGTCTTTTAAAAGTTGGAATCCCTAGAAATAGTAACTCTGATCCATTTAACTGTGTGTCAGGGAATCAAATGATATGTAGCATCAAAGCAATTTCCTTGGAGAATACTGTTATAAACATAGTAAACACAATTTTTAATGTGTTTTAAAAATCAAATTTTACTATAAAAAAATGAAAATTTCAATTTCAGAGAAATACCGCTTGATTATTTTCAATGCACTTTATAATATTTATAGCACTATAAACAATTTATACACCTGTAATTTTAAGTACTGTTGATGTTGCTTTGCCACTTATCTTGATATAAAATTAGCAGATGAGAACCTTAAGGTCATAAAGTATTTGAACCACATGGGATTATGTCATGTAAACTAGATCTCAGTTCCCAGTTACAAAAATACTTTTATTAAGTCACTGTAATAAATTACTTTATCATTTTAGTTATTCTTCTGCAGTGCAGAGCTCACAAGATTAAGTTGGTTGAGTTAGGCCTCAAAGTAAGTACATAGCAGCAATTCACTCCATAAAAATCAAATGTACTCACAATATAAAGGCCTATCCACAAAGTGCCAATGTGAAGGGGTAAGTGGAATTGCAAGCCACTAAATTATGTTATAAATTTATTATAGTTTGTAGGCAAATAAACCCCCCTCTTTCATGTATGTTTTGAAAAAGGAATTCTCTGGGTAATTACTTCAACCCCTACTTTACCTTGGTAATAGCTATTCTCTAGTCACCATTTCAGGAAAAGTTTAAAATTAGTCACCTTTTTTCTATTAAGTGACCGATTAGGTTTCTCCAAACAACTAGCCAGTTGTTTAAAGAAAATGATGGTTTCATAAGATTACATTGTTTGGGGTTTTAATTTATAAACTCCTTTGTATGTCTAGAGCCTTTTAACCAGAAGCAAAAATGGTGAGTACGAGTTTGATCTTTCTCTCTCTTTTTGTTTCCATTTTCATTGGCTCTAGCTTAGTTATTAGAACAATTCAGGCTTTTTGGATTTTTCATAAACCCTCATGTAAGAACTGGGACACAACAAAGATCGTAAGTTGTGCCTGTAGATGACAATACTGTATTATGCACCTAAAAACCTGTTAGGAGGGTACATCTCATGTTAAGTGCTCTTACCACAACAAAATAAAATTTAAAAACAATTTGGGTACATTGCACACTTAGTTAAAGTTTCATGGAATTTGAACAATATAATATTATCTATGACTACTAATTTTTTTTTCCTTTTGAAATAGCACAGTTTTATCTTCTCTCCAGGAGAAATGACTACACACAAACATGCACACACACACACACACACACACACACTCAAACAGGGGAAGTGGAGCAAGAAAAATATTTTTCTCAAGACAACAATATTTGTGCAATTTAGCACAACCTAAATAAAGCATCAACATTTTGAGAATTTCACATGATGTCTAAAATTTGGTAGAGAAGGAAACTGAAATTTGAACCTTTTATAAAGGAACTTACTGGTGATCTTCAAAATGCCCCAGCTATAAAGAGCTTAAAGAGGTACTGGCAAATAACAAACTGATTTAGGTTCTCCTATTTTATGTGCCTCCCCCAAGAAATATATTTTAGTCCATGTTTTTCTAAAAGGAATTGGTAAATCATGAACAAGGACCAGACTGAGGGCCTAAGGACCGGATTCATTGCATAAGAATCTAAATCAATAAGCCAATTTCATTCCAAAATGTCCTATGACAGCCCGTAGTGCTTCCTTCTTTATTGGCATGACCTTAGGCCCTGTGAGGAAGAATAGCAAGTTTTCTTCATTTTCTATTGAATCAAATACTGATTCCTAAACTGTAAGAATTAGCAACTGGTAATTCACAGCCAGTCATAAACCCCTCGGGAGATCCCTTCCCAGCCCCTACGAGCAGGAGATTCTTTCCAACCGAAAGCAGCTATGCAAGGTTATTCTTGGGACACACAAGCGAGACCGAAGCTCACATCGTACTTTCGGTTTGCAGCCCTTGCGGCCCCAAGGTTTTCTTCCCTTTGTGGACCCAACATAGCTCTGGACCGTGCAAGGTGAAGGAGGAGGCTTGGCCAGCGAGTGCTGTGTGACAGTCACACACAGTCCTCTTCACGACACAGGCTTAGGCAAGGCCTCCTGATGGGTCTGCGCCACGGTGCATCCTTGTTTGTAAACAAGTCTGCTGCTACCTACCCCTGTTTTAAGAGTCCCCCGAAACCACATTTCCTAAATATTTACAAGAAGCATACATCCCAGAAAAGGAGACTAACTGGGAAGACTTCCAATTCCTCTGGGTGCTTCAGCAGGAAAATGCTTCAGGGGACCCCAGCGAAGGAGCATTTCAATTGCCCCGCCCCTTTCACCAAAGTGAAAATAACTGTGAAGTTCTCAGAGAATTTCTTCTTCACTACCATTTAAAATGGGTACCTGAGATATTAATTTTGGTATCTGTTGGTAGCTGTTCTTGTATCTGTTATTGTGACACTAATTTTTATGTGAACTGATAATTATGAGGTTTTAGAAATAAAGCTCCTAACCCCAAGCTGGGTAGACTGCTGCTGAAACTTATGTAAAATCATTGAAAACCAAACAAACTGCCTCATAAAAAATACATCTATTCCTCTGTTACTTTGAACCTCTATTGTATTTAAAAGGAAACATGTAAACCCCTTTATGTCTCTAAGAAACATTTCCATTTGTGTCTTTTTAGTGGAGGTAAGAGTTCCATTACTTTAAAGTTATATGGGCATAAAAAGTAGTTTAGATCATCAGTAGCTTTCATACATAACTACCCAAATGTTATTATCCAATAATGAATGAATGCATTGGTTAAATTCAGCTGCTGATGGGAAGCTGACTCATCAGAGAATATCACAGCCCTTCTTGCCAGCAGCCGTTATTTCTTGGGGACATTAATGTCATCCACTAATTTGGATAACAGCCCTGTTCAACCATCACGTGCCTCCTGTTACCAACACTCAACCTGCCGGTGCGTCAGCCCCTGAGGCGCATTATGTGTTTTAGTTAAATAGACCAGAGGGGATTATTTATTTGCATGAAGGAAGAGATTGGTTCTCTTCTCTTGTCGTGACTTTGTACTTTGTGAATTCTCTTAAAGAACTTGATATAAAACGATGCCTTTTTAAAGACCTTCGCTGGAAGCACAGAATCTAAACATAAATCAACACAAAATATCTCCGTTTTTATGGCCGGAGCATACAGAAGTATTTCAGATTATCCTTTGTAGAAGGCAATTAGTTGTGCGGCTCAGAGCCTCAGAGCACAGCATGCTGGATACGCCCCGGACACACTTGGGCAGGAGTGTCTTCTTTACTCCAGCAGATTCCTTACAGCACAAATGTACTTTAAATTGTGTGTCTTAGAGGAATGTATTTTATAAAAGTAGACTAACAAAAAAGAAACAGACTTGGAATGAATTCAAGTTGGAGATGCTTTAGAGCAATGAATCTCCAGTAAGTATCGATATTGTACTGTATGTGCAGATTTCTTAACTATTCCACTGCTCAATCAAAGGGAGTTTGGGGTGGGCATGGCGGGGCGGGGGCAGGGACCAGCCTGCCAAGCTAAACGTTGTACCTGTGCTGTGCTATTATGTATAGAATAATCTCTCTTTCTTTTTCCTTTGAATTTGTTTTCCTCTTGCTTCCCAGAGGATTGTGTGGAGGACAATGCAACATAGTGTAAGCTTTGGTCTTCTTATTCTTTCTCTCATTGCCATTTGTCTTTGTAACAGTCATTCCAGAGAGTTTATGAGAATTTCCACCTCCACCTCCTCTTTCCAAATTGCCCTAGGGAGCCCGATGAACACTGCGCACGACCAGTGAATGGGTTTAGTGACAGCCTCTCTTGGTGTTTATGGTTAACAACCATTTGGTATTCTTTCCCAACCGCAAGGTGTTCATTCTAAGCTTCGTGTGAGACTAGCTCATTTGGTGGCTGACTTAAATTCTACCCTAATATTCAGACTGCGTGTAGTCTGCAGGAAAAACTAGCTCTTCCCTGATAGAATATAGGGGGGCAAGAGTAGCTTTATAGCTGTGAGTACATGAAACACAGAGCTTATTCCTGTGGTGTCATTTATTAATTATTGTGTCATTTTCATGTGAACAACTGTATGTCTACTTTTTGCCTCAGCCTGGGTATGGCTTTTTGTTTGCGTGCTGGGTGAATTAATTACCTCACTAATAAAAACAAACCAACCTCAGCTCTCGTGCATAAGGAGCTAATTTTCCCATTAACTGGAACATAGAGAGTTTAGGAAGTTAAGAAATAGTTTTTGCTAGAAGTTGTTTACTCTTTTTTATCCCTCCTTGAATTTACTGACAGCACTTAGGGAGGGAGCATTGGGTATTTTTTACTACAAAGTAGCTGGTATGGGGGCTGAGGGCAAGAATGCGGAGGTCCTCTTACTTGACTTTACATATTAACCATAATAATTAAAGAGTGAAGTTACCTAATCTGATTTTTCATAATACCTTCCATGCTGGTAATACCCTATAATAAAGACATGAACCCTTTG